GACTTTTAATATCTAACCTTTCAGCAACTTTCAAATACATAGTGCAGTATTGTTAACTATAGTCACCATGCTGTACATTACATCCCCAGAACTTATTTATCTTATAGCTGGAATTTTGTACCTCTTGACCACTTTCATTCATTTCTCTCATATTATTTTTAGTTACATAAAACTTCTTGTATCCTTTCAAAGTCCAGCCTATACTAAGGTTCCCTGATAGAAGTCTCACTTTCATTTCTGTACACCTCACCCCGCCCCTTTCTTCTTCCTATATGAGCTACCACTTTATTAGTTTTTTTTTCATTTCTACCATTTCTTTTTGAAAATATAAGCAAATGTGTGTATATATATATATATATATATATATATTTGTTTCCTCTCAACATCAACACAGAAGGCAGCATGGTGTAAGTACTTTCTGTAGTTTGGTATTTTAATTTTATTGCTTTGTTTTAGATATTACTTCGTATCTTTAGAAATCCTCTTCATTTCTTTTTACAGCTGCATGTTACTCTACTTTGTGGGATTACCATAGTTTATTTAACCAGGCCCCTATTGATGGACATCTGGTTTGTTTGCAGTCTTTTGCTATTATAAAAATAATACTGCCAATAGCATTGTTTATAATATTATTTTGTATTTTTGCTAAGTGATCTTTGGGATTTTTTTTTCCAGTAGTGATGCCAGTGAATCAAAAAGTAAATGCATAGGAAATTTTTGCTAATATTGTCCCAATTTCCCCCTGTAGTGGTTGTGTTATTTTGTATTCCCACCAGCAATGTAGGAGAGTGCCTATTTCCCACAGCATCACGAAAAAAAGGTCAGACTGAGATTTTTGCCAATTTGATACCTCACTTTTCTTTAAATGTATATTACTTTCTTTGTTTATAATTTTTTTGTGCCTCAGACTTTTCTTTTGGAATTATTTTCCTCCTCTTTGAAACACATCCTTTAGAAGCCCTTGCATGAACTTTGTTTGGCTTGAGACTTTTTTGTGCTTCCTGAATCTGAAGTTTCATGTGTTCTAATTCTGGAAAATTGTCCATCATTATTTCTTTAAATAGTGCCTCTGCCACATTCTGTTGTCTTGTGGCACTGCAAGTAGACATAATTAGACCTTATTTTTTCTTCCTTGTCTTTTAACTAGCACTTCATATGTATCCCTCTTCTCTGCTGCTTCCTGGGTAGTTTATCCCATGGTAATTTACTCAGTTCTCTCATTTAGTTTTATTCTCTTTTTTGTTGTGTCTGACTTGCTGTTTAACCTGGCCAATACATTTTCATTTCATTGATAATATTTATAATGAATGGGAGTTCTATTTTTCCCCCCACTCGAATCTGCCTGGTCTTTTTTAGGGTATCTTGCATGTTCATATTTTCTATTTTTTAAAAATTCTTTACACATTTTAGTCATGGTTGTTTTGTATACTTAATAAGAAAACACCCACATCTGAAGACCTTGGGGGAAGTCCAGTAGTATTTTTGAATAGTTTCTGCTGATTTTACTCATAGTGGCTTGTTTTATCACATGCTTTATAATTTTGAATTATGTGTACTTTTTCACATTGTGTGTGAGAATGTTGCAAAACCTGAGGTGAGGGTGCATTTTGCAAAGTAAAAATGTTGCTTCTGCCCAATGTCCTATGACATTACCAACTATGACCACTTTAGGTTAAATTCTTGGCTTTAGTTTCCCAGACCACGGAGACAGCATATATTCGAAATCAAAACCTCCCTGAGGGCATGTCTGTGGAATTCTAAGGGATTTTTTTTCCCCCTGCCTGTAGTGCAGACTGAGAAAATAAGTTCTTTTGTTGTTCCTTTTTGCCAGCTGACAGTTTTTTCTAGCTTATTCTTTCTCGAGATGTAATTCTTCAAGGGTCTGCTTTGCCACTTTGTACCGGCCTGACTCTTTATCTCCTTTCCTAGTGGTTAAAAATGAAGCTTCCAGGTTTCTGATCTGGTGACTGCCTCCAGGGTAGATGCAGTTTCATCCTCTGCTTACCTCTGAGTTTCCAGTTCCTTTTTGGTTTTGGCCCCCCAAATTCGCTTAAGTCCTGTGAAGTTGGCCATAGTATAAGTGGATAATTGTTACATTCTATCCAGCATTCCTAGGTACAGTTGACCCTTCAACAATGCTACAGTTAGGGGTGCTGACTGCCTGAGCAGTTGAAAATCTGCATGTAACTTTTGACACCTCCCAAACTTAACTACTAACAGCCTACTGTTGATGAGAAGCCTTACTGATAACTTAAACAGTTGATTAACACATATTTTGTATATTATATGTATTTTATATATATAGTATTCTTACAATAACATAAGCTAGAGAAAAATGTTAAGAAAATCAAAAGGAAGAGAAAAAACATATACAGTACAAACGTGTGTTTATTGAAAAAAATCCACATAGAATGGAACCCTTGGAACAAAGTTGCAGTTCAAACCTTTGTTGTTCAAGTGTCGACTGTGCTTTATATCAGAGGCTATTCCCCCGCCTCCCCCCACCCCCCCTGGAATATGTGGTCCAGATGTAATTCTGTGTTGCTTACTTAACATGAAGTAAACCCAAAACAACATGAACTAATCAGGCCCTTAAAATCTCCAGTTAACTCATCTGATTTACTGCTTATAAAAATGGAATGTTATGTTTGCTATTGTTCTGTACATATCATTTGGAGTATACTTTGTACATTTATTTTTTTCTATAGTTCTTTCCCTGTTTTTTTCTTTATTATTATGAAAGTAGTGGTAATTATACAATATTTTAAAAAGTAGAAAGTTGTTTAGTAAACAGCTTACTTGTAATCCATCTCCCAGGGTAACAATTTAACATTTTGACATATTTCTGTCTAGAATTTTCTGGCTTTTCTATATGACACTTGAAATTATCTTTCTTTATGAAAAATACTATTCCATTATGCTGACTTACCTGCCTATACATTTCCTTGCTTTTAGTTTATTATAATTTTTTGTTATAATATCGTTTATACAAGGTGTTTCTTCCCCAACCTCTAGTCTAAGCTCATGAAAACAATTGAAAAATAGTAGTAAATATCAATTCATAGGGTCTAAAATTATTATTCTTGTTTCATGTTGCTGAACGTTTTAAAAATAAAGTTACCAGTTTACTACTACTTCCCCTGTAAGTTTTGCCATTTTATGGTATAATATTAGGAGCACAAACTTCTAGAGTTATATTGTGCAGATTCCAGTTCTGACTTTTAGCTGTGTGACCTTGAGCAAATAGTTAACCTCCCTCTACTTCTTCATCTGAATTGCTTTGAATAGTAAATGAGTAATAAATGCCCAGCACATAGTAAGACCACAATAAATATAGGCTATTGTTTAATTAAGTTTCGTATTTCTTTAATGATTAGTGAGGCTAAATATTTTCCTAAGCGTTTTGGTTTTATATGTCTATCTATCTATGTGTATGTATGTATGTATGTGTATAGATGGATAGATATAAAATCTCATGTGAACTGTCAGATATCTCCCTTTAAGATAGAAGTTTCCCTTCAGAAACTGGTTGACCTGCCAACACCAAAAGCACAAATTATAAAAGATGAATAAGTTAGACTTCATCAAAATTAAAACTTCTGTGCTTCAAAGTGTACCACCAGGAAAGTAAAAAGACTGCCCACAGAATGGAAAGAATGTTTGAAAAAATCACATAAGGGACTTGTATCTGGAATATATAAAGAACTCTTAACGATTAGTCAATAATAAAAAGACAAATAACCAAATTTTTAACTGGGTAAAAGATTTGAATAGACATTTTTCCAAAGATGATATACAAATGGACAATAAGTGTGTAAAAAGATGTTCAAGATTATTGTTAGGGAAATACAATTCAAAACCACAGTGAAATACTACTTCATACCCATAATGGCTATAATAAAAAAGATGGACAATAACAAGTGTTGGTGAGGATGTGGAGAAATTGGAACCGTCATACATTGCCGATGGGATTGTAAAATGGTGCAGCCACTTTGGAAATCAATTTGGTAGTTCCCAAAATGTTAAGCATAGAGTTGCCATGAGAACCAACAATTCCACTGCTACATATATACTCAAGAGTAATGAAAACATATGTCCACAAAAAAACTCGTACATGAATGTTCACAGTACGTTATTCACAAAAACCAAAAAAGTGGAAACAACTCAAATATCCATCAATTGATAAGTAAAATGTCATCTATCCATACAGTGAACTAGTATTTGGCAATATAAGGAGTGCTGTAATTTCCTTTGAATGTTGAAAACATGTTGTGCGGAGAAGGCTAGTCACCAAAGACCATATGTTGTATGATTCTATTTGTGTGCAATAACCAGAATAGGTAAATCTGTAGATACAGAAAGTAGATTAGTGGTGTCTAGGGATGGGGCAGGAAAAGGGGAGATAATTGGTAGTGACTGCTTATGGTTAGAGTTTCTTTTCGGGGTGATGAAAATGTTCTAAAATTAGATTATGGTGATGGTTGTGAAACTCTGTGAATATACTAAAAACTGTTGGGTTCTTTAAAAGGGTGAACTTTATGGTATATAAATTACATATTAATGCTTTTGAAAAGGGGAACCGTAAGGGAAGGGAAGAGGGGAAGGAACCAGCTGACAGATTTGTCTCTTTTCCTGTCTATCTCTGGCCCAGATTGTTGATTAAGAGTAAGGTAGATATATCTCATATGGTGATTCCTGCTGTGTTAGAAAATTGCATGCTTCAGCTTAATCGATGCTTCATTTTGGTATTATGGCTGGTAATTGAAGTCTTGACGTCTTTAGGTCCCACATCCCCTATTAGCTGTGTGATTCTTGCCATATTTATTACCTTGAAGATTGTTCCTTTATTTATTAACTGAGGATAATTCCTGCTTTTCTTATCTCAGAAGGTTGTTGTGAAGTTTAACTGAAAATGAGATAGTACTTTGAAAGCTGCATAGTTCTAGTAAATATATAATAGTATTAAGATTACTAAAGTTCTTTGTATTTTCTTTCCGTAGGAGTAAAACACAAGTCTTTTCTAACAGTTGAGGACTGTTTTGAGTTGGGCAAAGTGGCCTACACAGAAGCAGATTATTACCATACAGAACTGTGGATGGAACAAGCACTAAGGCAGCTGGATGAAGGCGAGGTTTCTCCCATCGATAAAGTCTCTGTTCTAGATTATTTGAGCTACGCGGTCTACCAGCAGGGAGACCTGGATAAGGCACTTTTGCTCACAAAGAAGCTTCTTGAACTAGGTATGTTAATTTAGCTTAATTCAAGATTATAGATATATTGGGGGATATATAGATCTACTAATTAAATATACTTGTATATAATAATTATGATATATATATAGAAAAAGTTCCAAAGTTACATGACTATATATATATGACTTTGTATCTTATCATATAGCTTTGGTACTCTTTATTTGTTATAAGTCAAGAGTCCCATCTGTTGGACATACTTTACCCTTTCTCTATTTATCCTCGAAATAAATGGCAACTGAATTTTCTCTCCTAATAGCACCTACAACAGTAGCTGTGTTTCTCTGCTCTTTAGTCCTCAGGAAATTCAAAATTGGATCTAACCTAGCTAACTCAGTCAAAAATATTTATTTACTATATTGCCATGTTAAATATTAACCAGTATCCTTTGAAGGACATCTTTGGTGTATTATATTTCATACTTAGAAATAGTGATTTGAAATGTTGACCTAAATAAAAAGGTAAAATGAGGGAAGCTCAAAATTGTCAAAAGGATGCATTTATTCAGGAATAGCAGAGGAATTTCAGTTCAGGACATGCAAACTATAGGAAGCTATAGGTGAGTCCATTGAGGGTTTGGGGTAGGCTGTATTTATGGGCAGGGAATGACAAAAGGGAAGAATTCAGTTAGAGTCTATTAAAATAAAAAATAAATGGAGACCAACTTTGAAAATTCCATGAGCAGGTGGAACCAGTCCAGTCATATAAGCGAAGCTCAATTTAGCTTATTTTGTGAGACCAACCCAACCTGGGTCATGTTCCTGGAAACCATAAGCAAAATGTACCAAGATTGGTATGGGGCAACCCCTGACCAACTCCCTCTAATTTAAGAAAATTCCAGTATCATCAGTTTTCTGAAAATTAGGCATTTATGGGAAATCAGTCTCTCAGTCCTTTTTTTTTTAATTTAATTTTTAAAATTGAGTTATAGTCAGTTTACAGTGTTGTGGTCTCAGTCCTTAAGTTTTGTGTTCCTGAGGGTCCAGGCGTGAGATTTTATAGCCTCTGGTTCTATCTTAGATTGAAATTCTTTCACAGAGACTGAAAATATATTTGATTGTCATATTCAAATGTAAGGAAAATATATCTTATGAAGATTTTACCACTGATTCTTTGAACAGAGATATGTGTTTCTTTAAGTATGATCCAGGGGCCACGTGCATTAAAATTACTGGGATACGTATTAGGAATGAAAATTCCTTAGTCTCCACCCCAGACCTACTAAGTCAGAATCTCTGGATATGGAGTTGTATGCTGATAAATTCATTTGGCCTTTGGTATATAATGAAGCTTTAAAACTGAAAAAAAAATTCTTGTTCTGAATAGGTAACTATGAGTATATTAGAAGAGTCAAACAATTCAAAAGGATTGATCATCTGAAAATGAACTTTTAATAATTAGCTTATTTCTTATTTGAGTGAATTAATAAATTGAGATATTAGTTGAAGTACCCTTTTTTTTCAAGTATTTTTTAGTGATTTTTTTTTTCTTCCTGACCTAAAAATACTTTATTCACTATAGGAAATTTTTAAAAATAGAAGAAATTATAGAAGAGTCATCCATAAGCCAATCATCCAGAGATATCCACCAGTTTTTTGTTTCCTTGCAGTAGACCACCCTTCCCCCTGCCACACACACTTTTCCCTTTTCTTTTACAAAGTTAGGCTTATATTGTGTGTATTACAACGTATATTATGAGCAGTTTCTCAAGGACAAGAAATATTTTACAAATCTAAGGCTAGATTTCCTAAACACTTTAGTTAATGTCACAATGAAGTTTCTATGTACTGTTCTTCCGTTTTTATTTGTGTGTGTGTGGTGGTTTGGATGTTTTTCCTCCTGGGTGGACAGAGTAGTCCTTTTTCCCCTACTAAACGATAGCTAAAAATTATGACTGGCAATTCAGGAGAAGTTAGTGAATTCTGGCTTACTTGAAAATTGTACCTTTAGTTTCTCTTTTCTGTCTCACTTAGAATTTTGGAACTGAAATCCATGCAGCTCTCAGAAGTAGGCTGTGTTCTCTGTTTATAATGTATCTGTGGTAAAGGTAGCTTTTGAACTGTATACCCTGTCTTCCCCATAGTGATTACATTTAATTCCCAGAAAAATATTTTCCATTGCTTAAAGTAAGTATAAAGAGTAATATTTTAAAATTCATTTGACATCAAATTGATCATATTTCCTTTGGCTGATCAGTAACTTCTCAAAGTAGAAGCAGTTATTGCTACTTTGAGATAAATGGCTGATTCCATTTTCAGAACTCTCTTTATGTAGGATTACTGTATGTCCTGAGCTTGGGGTTTACACCTATTATTTTGGTATAATAATTTTTATTAGTGCCACCTTTAACTCTCAAAAGCGTCCTGGTTTGGAAGGTAAATTATATGTTCCTCCACTTTTATATTATTGGATTTGGATGCTTGAGCAACTGTAAACTTACTCATGGACATGCTTGCTTTCTTTTCTAATAGATCCTGAACATCAAAGAGCTAATGGTAACTTAAAATATTTTGAGTATATAATGGCTAAAGAAAAAGATGACAATAAGTCTGCTTCAGATGGCCAATCTGATCAGAAAACCACACCGAAGAAAAAAGGGGTTGCTGTGGATTACCTGCCAGAGAGACAGAAGTACGAAATGCTGTGCCGTGGGGAGGGTATCAAAATGGTAAAGTGGAAAAGCCAATTGTGTGTGTGTGAATGTGCATGTATGTGTGTTTGTACATAGTTCTAGAGAGAATCAGAGTTCTTTTATATTTAAGCTTATGTGATAAAAATCAGAATTATTCATAAAGTATTATAGTATGCCACAGCACTGTATTGTGAGTATCACACTTAACATGCTCCAATGCTTAGTAAAATAGCTTTAAAATAGACCTTGTGAATCATATACCATTATAGGCATTTTTGGTAATTAGTACCCTTTTCATAGATTAAAAAAGTTTTGGTTTTTTTTTTAAGGTAAAGGATCAGGTAATTTAAGGGAAGTGATAAAATTTTTTCTTACATCTTAATGCAAAAGAGATTTCAGCAGTTTTAAATAGAAATAATACACCATTCTAACCCATCCTATGAAGCTATGAATTTATCTACACAATAATCTCTTGTGGTTTTGCTCCCAGTCAACTTTGCTGAGGGAGGTGTTTGTCCGTTTAAGAAATGTTGAAAATGCCAAACTACTTTCAACATATTTTTGGCTTTAATAGTCTTTAAAATACTAAAATGTGTCTATAAATATCCCTTTGTTTACTATATGTCTGTATTTATGTATTTATACTTGGAGTACCAGTGCTTCAGGATTCTAACAGAGTATTGGCCAAAAATAAACAAGTTCAAGTCTGGGGAACATAGGTTTTTTGTTCAGCCTCAGGACTTTTCAGAGCCTTTTTATGATTCTGTGCATTATGGATATGATATACTTTATTTTCTAACGTTAATTGATCATGGAACCCTTTTTAAAGGAATATCGTGTGGTACTAGTGTTCAGCTGAATGCAGGCATACGTAGAAGGGGTTAGTGAATTTTTGAAGTAGGTACTTGTAAGTGAAAACATTTGAATAGCGCTTAACTTTTTCTCTACTGCTGATAAACTCAAGCTGGGTAGTATGTTTTGATATTGATGACTGCTTGATATTTGATGACTTATGTTGAAAACCTAACCTCTAATAAGGTGAACAAGTAGATCATATCTATGTTGACTCTTTTGATAAGTTCATGGATTCCCAGAACTGGTTACTTTTGCTTTGGGAGCTAATGAGTAAATATAAATTTGACTCAACTAAACATTTTTTTTAAAATTTCACATCTAAATATTTTACTGTGTATCTTTTAAAGATAAGGACTCTTCAGAAATAAGCACAGTACCGTTATCACAGTATCTCCAGTATCACAGTATTCACAGTAGTTCTATAATACTATCAAATAGCTAGTCAGTGGTCAAATTTCCAACAGTAAGCACATATTTTTTTATTGCCCTTAAAAACTCTTAAAGAGAGCAAAATAGAACTATTGGTATAAAACAGAAGTCTGTTAATTTGCCAGTTTGTTGATGTGACATACACATGTCAACCCTGCCTAAGATCAAAGGACATCCTTTTTCTCAGAATAGTTAAATTCATCTCATCATCATATAAGAGATTTATGTGATATAACACCTTGGATTTGATTCTAGGTAAAGAAGATATAAGCGTAAACATCAATCATTATTTGTTTTTGTATAATTAAAACCAAAACTAATATTATTCCTACTTCATATATGACATGCTTATTTAATCAAGAGAAGAATCAGCAATGGAATAACTTACTTAGTTAATATAATACATAGATAATTGAAAGGAATATGTATTTGTTTTGTTGACTACTCTTTAATACCTGCTAATAAAAGCACCTGTTTTCTTTAATAACTTATTTTCTCTTTTTCAGAGCCACCCATTTTCATCTTTACTTTAAAGAAAAATCCTTTAATTTTTTTTTTTTGAATTGGGAGGTATTAGGGAAAACATGTTAGGATTTTGTTTTTCCTTTTAGAAACTTCATCTTTCTGGATATTTCCCAGGTACTTTGTGAAGTTTGAAGCAGTGCTGGTCATTCATTTCGTGTTTCCATAAATGTTTTATTATTTCTCTCATATTATGTCTGAACCTTATTTTGGTGAGAAAAGGGTTAAAGAGAAACTCTCCATCTTTTAAAAAAAAAATTAAGGCCTACCATTGCTTCTAGAAAATAATCATTAATAAAACTTTTTAAATCCTGAAGGTCCTGTTTGATGCAGAGTATTTGTAGAGTACTCTTTCTTCTATGTATTCTTCCTCAGATACTCTGTGTACACCAGCATAATTATTGTTTCTTATCTGCATAGGAACAAGCAGATAATAAATAATAAAAAATATTACTACTCTAATATATTTATCATTCTTTATGTTCAGACTCCTCGGAGACAAAAGAAACTCTTCTGCCGCTACCACGATGGAAATCGGAATCCTAAATTTATTCTGGCTCCAGCCAAACAGGAGGACGAGTGGGACAAGCCTCGTATTATCCGCTTCCATGATATTATTTCTGATGCAGAAATTGAAATTGTTAAAGATCTAGCAAAACCAAGGGTAAGTAATTTTTTGTCGTCTTTTCTCTCCTCAGTTTACCTAACCAATGTTTCAGTTTTTCCTTTGCAAGATTATAAAAATGATAATCGATACGGCAATAACCCCACAGATAGTTTTAGATGTTGTCGTGAGCTAATGGAATTATTAACTAAGCCCAATTTATACCAGTTGTTCTCTGTTATCAGCACAAACAACATACCTTGCAACTGGGCTTTATAAGCACTTAATTGTGAAAATCATAGATGAGGTTTTTATTCACACTTAACAAATTTGTGTTTCAGCTACTTCCTGAATAACTTTTTTGTGTACTTTGGAGCCCTTTAATCTCAGAAACCAGCTTTTTCATATCTTCTGTAGTTTTATCTGAAGGAATTCTTGAAGTATTTTTTATTACCGTTTAGACACATTATTACTAGAAAGATACAATTGGGCACAAAATCATGCTAATTTGAAATAATGACATCTAGGGTTTCTGACTTTAACCCACATCATTTATCTTAATAAGATAAACAATTTATTGTAAACACAATCCTATAAACTTAGTGTTTAACATAGAAATTCTTCTTTTGTGAGAATGTATGAAAGACTGCCCTTTATGTTCTTGCCTTTTTTCCCATCGGCTTGTTCTTAAAATCTGTCTGGTCTTATTGATAGTAAAATACACACTGCCATCATTTTCATAAAGAGATTAAGTAAACCCTAGTAATATTTTTGCTGTCTTATTATACGGGAGTTGGCAGATTTTACTGTAAAGACCCGGACAGTAAATATTTTTCAGGCTTTGCAGGCTGTACAGTCTGTCATAACCACTCACCTCTGCTGTTGTAGTACAAAAGGCAGCCACAGAAAATAGATAAATGTGTGACTGTATTCCAGTAAAACTTGATGTCTAAAAGCAAATAGCTGGCTGAATTTGGTCCATGAATCAAGTTTGCTGATCCTTAGTGTATCATAAAAGTTGAGTTATCTGGATATCTGTACTGCAAAATGAACTTGAAGTCAGAATTTTTGTTGTTGTTGTTAAGTTTTACTACTTTTCAAAATGAGTACTTTCTGTTGTTGTTGTTGTTGTTGTTTTTACTAAAGATTACATTTTGAATGGAAAAGACTGGTCTAATATGTTTGGGTGTTGTCCAAAGGAGTTCTTACAAATCTCTCAACCAGAATGCTACTTATAATCACATCATATTCTGCCGTTCTCTTTTGGTTTCCTATTTTAGTCCATTATTTGTGGTCAGTAAACCAGTAAACCAAAATACCTTGGGAGAATATTTATGAAGAATTCATTTTGTTCTTTTAAAAAAAAGAAAGAATTCATTTCTAGGTTCAGAGGCCCCAGTCTGCGGAGGGGATGCCTCAGTTGGATTTTTTGGATCAAGAAATTCAATGGCAATAAAAATTCCATACTCTTTGGTTAATCTTCAACTCGTCTTCCATTTGTAGAAAAAAGTTTAAAATCATTATCTTGGCTGTCATCTCTTTCTGTTTTTTTTTTTTTTAACATTTATGAGTTTGTTTCATCTGCCTTTGTGCTCAGTCCAAGATTATTTCACTATTTATGTGAAATATATGAACAAATATCTTGAAGGAAGAAGAGATTGACCTTGAAACAAGTTTTGGACAACATTATCTTTGCAAACATTGCTATCAGTGAAAAAAATTAAAATCAACTGCATTAACTGCAGATAGCCATTTTCATAACTTATGAATTAGACTTCAAATTTTAGAAATTTCTTTCCTTTACTTCTCATCCTGTAGCTTTTGAAAGAAATTTAATTTCCAGTCTTTTTTGTTTTGTATTCTCCATTCATGCAAAACAAAAACAAAATTTTAAAAATACTTAAAAAAAATATAAAAATTAAAAAAAAAAACAAACAGCTGGCTTTCAAGGCTTAACCCAGGTGACTGGAAGTCTGTGGAATTATTTTCTCTTTTCAGCCTCCTTTGTAAAAATCCCACAGTTCTGACTGGTTGGATAAATGTGGTTCATTTTTTTTTTTGTTTTGTAATGCAACTATTTTGATGGTTGGCTTCACAGCTGAGGCGAGCCACCATTTCAAATCCAATAACAGGAGACTTGGAGACGGTACATTACAGAATTAGCAAAAGGTAAGAGATGTGTATGCTGCATATTTTGCCTTCTAATGAGTGTTTTGTACATCCTACAGGAATTATTCACTTAAGGGAAGTAGGTCATTTTCAGTCTCCAGTCAAGTCACCACCTATTTTTATGCATGGATAAACTGCTTTGTGTTTCACAGGTCTTTCCCTTTAACTAGAAGTTCTGTTTTTAATATTTAATTGGCCTGTTATTTTTAGGGAATTAATATGCTTTGCATCTCCCTTCAAGTCATAGATCAAATATCCAGGAAATGGCTTTATACTTGTTTTCTTTTTCCTTTTTCTTGCCAAAGAGCGAAAAAAAGAAAAAGCAGCAGCCTGGATTCATCTGGGAATAGTCTTTGTTTATGTAATTCTCTGACATTCATAAATGCTGCAGTGAATTCACACCATTCTTCATGGTGATTGTATTGGCATTTGTTCATGCATCTTGTAAAATAACATTGTCATTTTGGAGTAATCTGTATTCCTCCTGTTGGAGTTTTTATTTTTAAAAGCTTGCTGACTTAAAAGTTGGCAAGGGAAAGAACAGAGTTAGACTTCTGATCTCAGTCTTCCAAATGCTATTACTTACGAGCTTAGTTGCCTTTTACTTCACCAGAGAGACTTAACAACAGTTTTAGCTTGGTGAGAGTTTAAAAAAAAATGAATTTAAAGAGTCTACTCATTATTCTTTTGTCAAATAACTTGAAGAACATTAAACTTCTACTTCTGAGAAAGCGCCTGTGAAACCCAGTGCTATAAATCATTTACATACAGCTTCAAATGATTTTTTTAAAAAAAGTGAAAGGACAATAAACCTACAACAAAAATCTGTCAACCCATTTTCTCTTGATTTGGAAGTGGCTTTTCATATTTGCCACCTTTCTAAATGTTTTTGCTGATTTGAAACCATTACCTACCGTCCAATCTGAACCCTTCCAATCACCTGTGGCTTGGCAAAACAAAACAAAAGCTCAAAATTGCCTGCTACGTGAGTAAGTCCTTGTCCTTTCTCTTTTTTTTGTAGCTGAGCCGAGCTACAGTACATGACCCTGAGACTGGAAAATTGACCACAGCACAGTACAGAGTATCTAAGAGGTAAGGGAGTAATGGGAAGAATTTTTAGTCATATTTGGACCATTTTCTTTCTTGAGAATCTGATTTTCATAAAACTCATCATATGGTTTCTAAGACCCAGGCTGTTAGGCATAGGTATTTGATGACAACCGTGCCTGACTTTTTATGATGGACTAATAAACAGACATGGTTATGGGGCAGTTAATAGAGATTTTCCAGAGTAACTTACTAGTTCTCATACTAAAAATAAGGGAAGTTCCCTAAGACCCTTCATAGAACAAAACCTAATTTGGCCTGTGTAGTAAAGCAGGGGTTTAATAAGAATCTCTGGATCACTCATCTATAGGTGGTGAGAAAATGAATGCCTTGAAGGATTACCTAACCGATCCTCTGCAAGTCAGTTGGTTTCAGATTCTTCGCTTTTAACAATATTTAAGAGAATCTACTTAAATTATTGTGTGATAGATTGCTGAAATAATTTTTAATGAAAAGTCACTGTATAACTTATGTATATAACTTAGAGGAGCTCACAGAGTGACGTTATTCCAACAGAACTCCTTTGTCAGCTCTCATAAAAATGAATACAGAAATATCATTGAGGAAAAAAAAACTTGAGCCAAATTTGGTCTCATTGTAGCACTAAGTAATATTAACAGATACAATACCTGATTGAAATTAATAAAATAAGCTTCATCCATCTCATTAGGAACATTTTAACATAGTTTTACTTTTTATTTTTGATAGTGATTGTTTAATTGTGTTATTTAGATTAACATGTACTAATAATAATTGTAGTAAATCATTCTAGGAGACGTTATTTTTAACACTTAGGCCTTTATGTTATAGGGACTTTATATTTCTATCAGTTTACATAAATATTTTGTTGTAGAGAAGTATAATGTGACTAATAAAAGATTTCTAGGCATGGAAATATATCACTCTAGGGCAGGGCTTTTATCCTCAACTCTATTGACATTTTGGATCAGATTGTTGTTGGTTGGCTGACCTGAGTCTTGTATGTTTAGGAACATCGCTAGTGCCCACTGGATGCCAGTAGCACCCTTCATCCTAGTTGTGACATTCAAAAATGTCCTTAGCCATTGCCAGCTTTCCCCTGGTAGGCAAAATTCCCATCCCTGGGGACTCAAACTCTCCACCACTGTTGAGAACCACTGTTCTAAGTTAAGAATGGAATGAAAAGGCAAGTTCAAGAAAAAAAAGAAAAGAATGACATAAAATTTCCAAGTATTTAAAAAATGCTTTACTCATGTATTTTTTAAAGTGGAGGATGGTGAGCATCAAATCATTATGGTATTTAGATTCCACTGGATACATAAAACAAATAATCATTTTTCAGAAATTACCACTATTTTCTGTATGTCAGAATTAAATCCTTTGAAATTCTTAGGATGGAAAATTTCAGTTGTCAACTAAAAATATTGCAAAGGAGTAAATAGGTTTTAACAACTATTCCAGGAGGCCCTCAAAAAATACTACTCCTGCAAGTCATAGCAAAGGTACTGTAAAGCCTAGATGGAATGCATTGGTTCGTTTCCTTAATTACTCTTTTGGGGCAAAGCTTTATGTCCTTGATGTATTAACTGTCAATATCCCCCACACACATATCCTGGTTTCCTAACTGTTTGCCTTATACCACTACCTGACCGCTTGCCCCAGTTAGAAAACATGATAAAAATTAAATTTCCCAAAATAAGATTAAAAAACAATTTTTTTATTCCCAAAATAAGATTTTGATTTCAGCAACACTAATAGATGGCAAGGATTTGCAGTAACTAATTGGGATAGACATGTAGACATGTTGAGCTATGGTGTACAATGCTTTTGTGCATTACAGTTAACCCTCATTTTAAGTTAAGTAAGCTCATTTTCCATTTTATTACAGAACTTTGTGTCTTAAAAATGAACCCCTTACCTATTTTTTAAAAATAACTTAATCCATTATATATATGTGATTATTTCATGGTTTTAGGCATTTTTACTGTCATAAAGCTTGTAAGTATCTAAATTCTCCAGATTTGGATGCTTTTAGAGAGCATATAAAATAAAATTTCATGAACTTAGTATTTTGGAAGTCATTTTTGGAAGTTTTCTATATATACAGTGGACCTTTTGACGAAATATTCAGCCCACAGAATCAGTGGGCTCTTACCAACAAAATAAATTACTCTTGGAAAGGTGATCTACAACCATTTTTTTCCGTAAGAACTAAGTATTTCTAAATATTTTGAACTTATTTTTTAAGTATTGTAATTTTATAGCTCCGAGAAGCAATTTTATTGGATTTTTGAGAAAGGCACAACCATACTTACATAGAACAGCAGAAGGCATTTAGCCAGTAGCATTAGAAGACTAACACCAGAATAAATTCACTCAGTCTTGGCAAAGTATGTAGTGTGTGTGTGTGTTTTCAAAACAACCTAGTAAGAAAGGAATTTCATAGCACAGTGATTTTCATCTTTGCTCTTAAGAAAAGTTGTTCACCAACTCTTTTAAAAATAAAATATATATGTTGAGAGAGAGATTTTTTAAAGAAGGAATTTGTTCCATAAAAATATACAATACATTTCATATTTTAACAAATAAGTTTTTACTGTTTTGGAAATTTAATAGCTTTGTCAAGGCATTTTCTGCCCATCAGTATAAATCTGAAGTTTTAAGATTTCTACAAGTGAAATAAAAGTTTTATGTTTCCTTTCATATGATACCTCTAAAAAAGGCATCTCAAATGTAAAATAGTAGAAAGAATTTATGTGTAATGATATCAGCTAATGTGATCCCTTCTACTCTGGAAATATCTGTATTTTGAAAGGGTCAGAAGGGAATTTCAAGTATCTGTATTTTGAGAAATTTCCAAGTGATTGCATCATCATCTGTGGAAGTAAAAATATGTTCCAGTATTTTAGCAAATAGAATTTTCTTTTAGCAAGTATGTGTGGAAATCCATCACTGTTTAAAAAAATGAAGTTTTTATTTACTTTATTGACTATCTGTGAACTTCTAGCAGATCATCTTTGTCTTTTCCAATATTTAAAAAAAAAGAGAGAAACTAAAAATTTACTCTGGATTGTTAATGGAGAAGCCAATAATTTTGGCTAGATCAGAGAAGTGGAATTTTAGTTTTTGAATGGTAAACATTTGGTTATGAACTCTGAAACAGTTTAGTTATATGAGCTCATAAGTCCATTTAAAGTAATACGCATAATGAGATATAAACAGTCTATTTAGTGTGGTGGGAAAAGCTGCTTTGCTTCTGGTGGGCTAGTCTTGGAAGTAGTTTTCATTTTTTTACTTTGAAGTACAGACTTCTACAATATATATTTTTTATGCTGAAGATTTAATTTACCCCATGTTAAAGGAGCAAATACAGTCTAAAAAGCATATTAATATTTTTACAATATAAAGGCCAGTACAGATAGCTTTGAATGATTTCAGGTACTTTTTACATTTGGCATAACTTTTTCTGTTTTTTTTAATTGAAGTATAGTTGATTTACAATGTTGTGTTAGTTTCAGGTGTACAGCAAAGGGATGCAGTTATACATATATATATATATGAGGTAACAAACTGGATAGATCTATAGTGTCATTGCATAATTGTCCCACTAAGAACCAAGGGACTGGTTAAATTTCCCGTCTAGATGATTAGCATTTCTTTGTTAACTATCAAGCACTTAGAGAATTATTGAAAGTTTTGCTTTCTATAACTGGCTTTTGGGGACCTGAATTATCTTTTACCTTTTAAAAAAATCACATGGTGGTTTTATGTTAACTAATTGTAAATTGTTTATTTTTACATATGTTGGATTAGAAGAAGGTAGTGGTAGTATTCAAATTATGTCATTTAGATTTTCCTTTGGAGGTTTGCAACAGTCTCCAAAACCTCCAAAATGGTATTGTCTGTTACTTGCATATGCCTGCCTTAGTATTAGAAATAGTCATGCAGGGTGAGAATGTTGCTCCTTACACAAATAAAGCATTCCAGTAATATTTTTAAAATCATATACTAAAAGAATAGTGAATTTTTTTTAATAGCAGAAACTCAATAGAAAGGAAAAAATACTGAAGTGTTATTCTACACATACAACTTAGATCTCAGGTTCCTGTCATTAAGATCAAAAGGAAGATATTTTGGGTATTTAGTTATTAATGGAAAAAAGGGACACATAAAATTATCTGGAGAAAGAATTTTTTTTCTCCTGGCACTAATTGTGTTTTGTGGAAACCTGTATAACTTAGTTGACATTTTCAGTTTTAATTGTACAAAAAATGAATGTTCTTCAAAATTGTTTTTACTATTACAGTAAATGCTGTATAACTATACATTCTAACTTAGTTAAAGCACTGAGTACTAGAAGAAAGAACCTTGATTTCTGATGATTTAATTTAATGCAGGAATAAGACATCCAGATCCTAAAAAATAATTAACATATATTGCAGTATCATTGTCTCTACTGAATTTTTAGCAATGTTAAAACAATTCAGAGCTGATTTCTTAGATTACCTGATAGGCCTACAAAAATGTTGCTGAAGACAGATTAGCAGTAATGCTTTAAGAATGGGATCTAGATGAATAAAATATTTTAAACATATGGAGTTCTCCAGCTTAGGAGAATCTTCCTGTGTTTTGGAGAGGACTATCATTCAACCTTAAAAAGGAATGAAATTCTAATACATGCTATAACATGGATTAACCTTGATGACATTATACTAAGTGAAAATAAGCCAGGCACAGAAGGATAAATATTGTATGATTCTGCTTATAGTTACCTAGAATAGGCAAATCATTCAGACAAGAAGTGGATTAGAGGTTACCAGGGGCTAGGAGGAGAGGGAAATGGCAAATTATTGTTTAATGGGTACAGAACTTAAGTCTGAGATGATGAAAAAGTTTTGGAAACGGATAGTGGTGATGGTTGTGCAACTTTGTGAAGGTACTTAACACCAGTGAATTGTACACTTAAAAATGGTTAAAATGATAAATTGTTATGTATATTTTACCAT